ATAGTAGAGATGAGGTCTCACCATGTTGCCCAGGCTGGTCTCGAACCTGTGGGTCCTGGCAATCCTCTTTTCTCAGCCTCTCCAAGTGCTGGGATTACAGGTGTGAGCCACCGCGCCTGACTTAATTTTAAACTTTTTTGTAGAGATGGGGATCTCGCCATGTTGTCCAGGCTGTTCTCAAATTCCTGCGCTCGAGTGATCCTCCCTCCTCACCCTCTCAAAGTGCTAGTATTACAGGCATGAGCCACCGCGTGCCCAGTCCTCTAGTTGGTAAGTTAAATGACACAAAAGTTATTTGTTTAAGCAGGAAATCTGGCAGGACCAGGCGAGGCTGGGTTATGCTTGAGTGGAAACAAAGGCAAACTCAGTTTCCATGGATTATCATAACACATGCAAAGCCCTCTCCAGGGCAACGGTCCTCTGTGCACTCAGCTAACGATCCAGAGCAATGCTGTCCAACAGAACTTTCTGTACGTTGGAGTTTTTCCATCTCTGCCCTGCCCAATCACCATAGCCACTGGCTTCTTGTTGAGCATTTGCAGTGTGGTGCAACTAAAGAAGTGGATGATTAATTTAATTTAAATTTACATTCATCTGCATTTTTTTCTTTAAATCATAGCCATATGGTACATTTTCTGTTTTGTTAATGGTTCTCTTTTATTGATGGGCATGCAGAGGATGTTTCTTGGAAATGGCCAATTTTTATTAAAATATTTCTGGAAGGCTCGGTGGCTCAGCCTGTAATCCCAGCGCTTTGGGAGGCCGAGGTGAGTGGATTGCCTGAGCCCGCGGGTTCGAGACCCGCCTGGGCAACTTGGCGAGACCTCATCTCTACAACAAATCAAAAATCAGCCGGGTGTGGTAGCGCGTGCCTGTAGTTCCAGCGACTTGGAAGGCTGAGGCAGAAGGATCGCCGGAGCCCAGCAGGTCGAGGCTGTGGTGGCCGGGAGCGGCCACTGCACTCCAATCTGGGTGACTGAGTGAGACTCCAACTCAAAAAAAAAAAAATTTCTGGAAGAAAAAAATATAAATTTACTCAAACGCATATATGATGTGACTAGTGGCTATCTTATTGCACAAGGTAGATCTAAACGGATGGAATCCCACAGCATGAAGAATCTTGCACTAGCTTTTTTGTTTATTTGTTTTAAGAGAAGGGGTTGCCGGACTGGTGACTCACGCCTGTCATCCCAGCACTTTGGGAGGCGGAGGCCAGAGGATTACCTGAGCTCAGGGGTTCGAGACCAACCTAAGCAACATGGCGAGACCTCGTCTCTACAATAAATCAAAACACTACCCGGGAGTGGTGGTGCCCGTCTGTGGTTCCAGCTACTTGGAAGGCTGAGGCGGAAGAATCGCCTGAGCCCAGCAGGTCGAAGCTGTGGTGGCCGCGAGCGTGCCACTGTACTCCAACCCTGGCGACAGAATACAACTCAATTTTTTTTTTTTTTTTGAGAATACAATTAAAAAAAAAAAATGTTGAGGGGGAAAGAGGTCTGGCTCCGTTGCCCAATCGAGTGCAGTGGTGTGATCACGGCACACTGCAACCTCGATCTCCTGGGCTCAAGTCATCCTCCGACCTCAGCCTTCCAGGTAGCTGGGACTACAGGCATGTGCCACCATGCCCCGGGAATTTATTTATTATTTTTGTAGAGATTGTGGTGGGGGGTGGTGGTCTCACTATGCTGCTCAGGCTGGTCTCGAACTCCTGGCTTCAAGCGACGCTTCCTCTTCGGCCTCCGGAGTAGGCATTGGCCCTTCTAGGCTAGGAAGGGAGGGGTATCACCTTGAGCCACAACCCATTAGCTAGAACCCAGTTACGCGGCCCCGCCCACCC